ACACCACGTCTTACTTTGTCTAAGTATATATTTGTACTCTTTAATGAATTTCTCTTCATCTTCCTCCCCTCTCCCCTTTCCAGCATCTGGTTATCACCAGTCTACTCTCAATCTTCATATTATCCATTTTTTTACCTTCCACATATAAGTGAGAACATGAAATGTTTGTCTTTCTGTGCTTGACTTATTTCACTTAATAAAATGACCTCCAGTTCCATCTATGTTGCTGCATATGAGAAGATTTTGTTCTTTTTTGTGGCTGAATACTATTCTATTATGTATATAAAACACATTTTCCTTATCCATTTATCCACTGATGGATATTTAGGTTGATTCTGCATTTCGGCTCTTGTGAATAGTGCTGCAATAAACATGGGAGTGCAGATATCTCTTCTATATATTGATTTTCTTTCTTTTGGATACATACCCAGTAGTGGAAATGCTGGATAAATATGGTGGTTCTATTTTAGTTTTTTGAGGAATCTCCATACTGTTTTCCAGAGTGTCTGTTCTCATTTATATTCCAATCAATAATGTATGAGTTTTCCCCTTTCTCCACATCCTTGCCAGCATCTGTTATTCCCTGAAATCCTTGCCTTTAAATACAAATTTATACATATTATAATATGTTATAGTTTAAAATGGCAAACAAAGGCCCAACATAAATAACAAACAAATTTTTTAATTGTCTGAATTTTCATTTCTATTTCTTCTGCCTATTTTCAGACTCCTAATTTCTTTACAGAGGAGTATGATTACATTAAAAAGGTTCTTTAGAGGCAGATTTGGCCACTTTTTTTCCTTTAAGAATCTTGACTGTAATATCTTAGATTACCTGACAAGTCCCTAAGACTCATCAATCAACATTTCTGCAAGCATGTTGTTATTTCTTCAGACTGATTAAAATAAGAATTTCACTGGAATTGAAGAATCTACTGCCTCAAGGATATACATCGAAGATATAAATTATGGGTGGTGAATTCATTTTTATTAAGAATCTATAGTCTTTATATGTACATTAAATATCCTAATATTCAAAGCATGGCCTAGCTTCCATACTTTAATTCAAACAAGAATTATTCATATTTTCCAGTCTAGGTTCACCTTGAGTGAATTTGGGCTCACTTGGTTGGTGCTTTCCCTTTACTGAGTCTTTATACTTAAGAACTAGGTGCTTGGCCAGGTGCAGTGGCTCACGCCTGTAATCCCAGCACTTGGAGAGGCCAAGGCAGGCAGATCATGAGGTCAGGAGTTCGAGACCAGCCTGACCAACATAGTGAAACCCTGTCTCTACTAAGAATACAAAAATTAGCCAGGCATGGTGGTGCACACCTGTAGTCCCAGCTACTCAGGAGGCTGAGGCAGGAGAATCTCTTGAACCCAGAAGGTGGAGGTTGCAGTAAGTAAAGACCACACCACTGCACTCCAGCCTGGGCAACAGAGTGAGACTCCATCTCAAAAAAAAAAAAAAAATAGAACTAGGTGCTCTTGCTGGCTTGCAGGCGCTTCCTTGAAGAGAAATTCAGAATTTCTGCCTAAACCAATACACAATACAATTTCTGCCTAAACTCAATACACTTTGAGCCTGTTTCCTCAAAGACTGTACACAGAAATTATCTAGACTTCACTACAAACAAGTAGATAGAATACTTATTCTTAAGTCCAGGCATTCTATTCCCCCCTTCCTTATCTTTCCTAAGAGTGAGTTTATTTTATCCCTTGGCAAAAGGCTGAGTGGCATAATTCTAACCCAGAAATGGAAAAATAGATAGGCAGTTCCTCAATGGAAGTCTTCAAGAGAGATTTCAAAAAGCCCCTTGCCTCTGGGTTTGATTTCAAGAAAATTAATGTGAGAAATCTGTCTTATAATTCCTAGAGTAGAATCAATCTTAAGTCACCAGAAATAATAATTGACAAAGGAACCAGTCCTTAAGTTATTTCTTCATTTAGATATGGGAGAGAACTTCTATTGGACAATACTCTAATAATTCTTAGGATAAGTCTGTGAAAAAAAAAGTTTCTCAACCTCAAAACAAGAGAGACAGATTTTTAATAAACAGTTCAGATTACAAGTAGAACTGGGGGGCCAGGTGTCATGGCTCACACTTGTAACCCCACACTTTGGAAGACGGAGGTGGAAGGATCCCTCGAGGCCAGGAGTTAGAGACCAACCTAGGCAACATAGTGAGACCTCATCTCTACAAAAAAATTTAAAAATTAGCTGAGTGTGGTGGCACACACCTGTAGTCTCAGCTACTCTGGAGGCTGAGGAAGGATAATCACTTGAGCCCAGGAGTTCAAATGAAGATATAACTGTGATAATTTGTATGAGTGTTCAAAACTTATGATAATCTGATATAAGCATATTAAGCATGTGGTTAAATATTCTGAAGAAGTCCCTGCTCTTCCATCTTCTAGGGAGTGGTGGTGGGCGCCTGTAATCCCAGCTACTCAGGAGGCTGAGGCAGGAGAATTGCTTGAATCCTGGAGGCAGAGGTTGCAGTGAGCCAAGATCATGCCACTGCACTGCAGCCTGGGTGACGGAGTGAGACTCCATCTCAAAAGAATAAAAAACAAAACATTGCCAATGACTCAGAAGTCACTCTCATGGCTCATCTGAGTTGCTACTTCCTCTCTCCTGCTCAGATAATCACCTTTTATGATAATCCCTTCATTGTCTTTATTAACTTTATTACCTAAGTCTTAGTTTTACATATTTTTAAAACTTTATATAAGTGGAATAATAATTATGTATTCTTTTGTGCCTGGCTTCTTTCACTAAACATTGTATTTGTGAGATTTATCCACATTGTTGTGTGTAACTCAACTTTGTTCTTTTTCCCTGCTGCATAAAAATAACATAAATTATTTTAAATTGAATTTGAATTTACATTTAAATTTGTATTCTAAAATTAAAGGATATGAAGATTGTTTCCAGTTTTTAGCTGATATGAATAATGCTGTCATGAGTCTTTGCTATTCTTGCATTTTTACATTTCCATATTAATTTTAGAATCATCTTGTCAAGTTCTAAAAAAGAAATCAGGACTTTGAATGTGAGTGAATATATATATGAATGCTATATATTGTCTATATGTGAATATATGTATGAATTCTCTTCAAATATATATAACATATATATTATGCTACATAATATATACATCAAATTTACATATATGCAACTGAGATATATAAAAATCAATTTGGAGAGAAATTATAGCCTTATACTATTGAGTCCTGCTTTTGGTGAGGGCCTAAGGCTTCTTCCACTCATGGCAAAAGGTGAAGGGGAACCACAGTGGTTCCCCTGCAGAGATCACATGGTGAGAGACGAGGCAGGAGGGCAGGGGACTTCTTTTAACAACCAAATCTCTCTGAAATGGATAGAGTAAGAACTCACTCTCTACCTCAAGGGAGGGCACTAATCTATTTATGAGATCCTCCCCATGCTCCAAACACCTCCCAGTAGGTCCCACCTCCAACACTGGGGATCAAATTTCAATCAATATGAGATTTGGAGAGGACAAACATCCAAAGTATACCACAGTTCCTCACACTGTATTTAGATCTAAGTCAGATCACCACACCAGAGCCCACTGTTTGAAGGGGAAGCTGACTCCCTTTGAGGAAGAAAATGAAACTGCAACTGTAGACTTTTGATGCTCCCTTCTGGCCTTTCTATCAGAGATCTGCAGCCATTTTCCTGGCTAACTACATTTGGGAAAGTGGATTATCCAGACTTCTCAATGAAGGCTACATATAGTTCTTGAGCTGCCTCTAATCCAAGGTATCCTAAAACACCATCATGGTCCTCCAGTGACAGTGGAGGCTTATAGAGATCAAGAGATGCATGGAGTCTGGGCCCAAATTCATTTAATAGTGGGTCCAAAGGGTCAACAGACCTACCAAGTGGTTATTTCTCAGGCCTGTAAGTATATAATTGGAGCAGATATTAGCTAGAAAAAACTAGCACAAAAAAGAGTCAACACAGTAGGCCTAATACTGTGATCCTTAGTTCTGCTTACAAGGTTGACTGTTGGCTGGCATCTGGGAACTTGGATTTTGAGAGTGTTCTCACCATCCCTTCCCACTGACTTTTTGAAATCCTGAATTCACATATCTTAATTGTCTGAACCTGACGCTAAGCTAAAATCTGACTATCTTCTAATGGACCATTTCAGTCTCAGAATAAGCTGTGCTAAACTGAAAGCAGGCATTGGCTCAACAAACAGAACACCGATTCTGCAACTGTTACAGATTTAAGATACCTCTTTTTGGGGCCTCAGACAATGAAAATGTCATAAATACTGGCTGGACCATTCTGATGGAGCCATCTAAAATTTAGGTGCTGATTGGCTCTATATTTCTGATATAGAGAGATATTCAGAGACTGGTTGCATTCCTAACTGCCGTTTGGGACTGGGCACATTACAGTGACTGTGACCCTTCTCCTCATTCCTGACAGATCAGACTCTGGACCTCCTTTGAAGAAAGTCCCACTGCTGTAGATTTGTGTTTAGATTTCTGAATTGGTTGCAATTTGCAACAATTGACTTACAGCCTGAATCTACTTCCCTCACCTTTTTTCCTGTAATATTAAGACAATTTGATTGTTAAATACAGTTGTCCCCAGAAAGGAATTGCTCTTCTTTGGAATGCTAGGCTGGCCACTGGATAAATGACTGTAACTAAAGGGATAAGAGGCTATAAACTCAATTTGAAAAATCTTTGAAAATTCAGGGTCATTGGGACAAATTCCTTACCATGATGTGTTTTTCTAATTAAGTTGTGTAAAAATGTTTTCCTGTAAAAATGCTTTTTTCCCTCTTGCATATAATAACCCTTCTGGATGAAAGGCCCTAGTGAGAGTAGGAGATGATTGAAAATATAAAGTTATTGTGAATGGGACACACTGATTTTGTAGCAATGGTGAAAACATACCCAGCACCTGGGGAGGCGCAGGGAGAAGGTAGGGAGTTAATTTTTTTTTTTTTTTTCAGAATTGCTCCTGGATGATTTTCCCCCTTCTTGAAGGAGAACTACCCATGCTAGATTTCCAAGCTGCTGTGAGTACTCCGAATTCAAACGGACTGCTGAGCCTATGGTCACAGGTGACTGAGACATCAGAGGAACACTTCCAGATGTCACCCACACTTATGAGATAGATAAACTGATATTACACATGAAAAAATCTGCTTGGAACTGACTGCCTCAGGCAGTCCCTACAAATCTAAGGACTGACCTGCATTATTTGGACTGCACTGAGAATCGTGGAGCAGGAGGGCCCACAGTGGAAGGTTACTTTAGAGGTTTTCTTAACCTTACTGCCTGACTAATGTATGTCCTGCTTGGGGTGTCCTAACAACTACAAACTTTGTTTCCAGGGGTGCTGTGTGTACCCTCTGGGCTTATATTTCTTTCATGGGTACCCTGACTCTCATGACACTGTCTCAACCCTACAAGGCATTTGAGTTAACTTTAATTTACTGGTCAGAGTTGTGCTGTGCCTGAGTTGATGTCTTGGGCCAGGTTAAAAGAACAAAAACGGTTAATGCAAAAACTGAAGGAGAAAGACACCTGGCTTTCTAAGATAGACCTTTATGATTGATTAGATTTTTTTTGTTTTGTTTTTTTGACACGGAGCTTCACTCTTGCTGCCCAGGCTGGAGTACAATGGCACAATCTTGGCTCACTACAACCTCCGCCTCCTGGGTTCAAGTGATTCTCCTGCCTCAGCCTCCTGAGTAGCTGGGATTGAAATTAGCCACCATGCCTGGCTAATTTTTTGTAAATAGAGATGGGGTTTCATCATGTTGATCAGGCTAGTCTCAAACTTTTGACCTCAGGTGATCCACTCACCTTGGCTTCCTAAAATGCTGTAATTACAGGCATGAGCCATTGCACCCAGCCCCTGGATTTGTTGTAATTGGCCAGACCTAGAAGCCATGAAGGACATAACCGAGGCCAATACTGTAGGCTGATCTCACCCTGGGATGGGGTCCTATTGATAATAATTTTTGTAAAGATGCTTTGGACAATGACCAAGTGGGTGGAAGAAAAGAGTTAACATAACAGACCTGAGACTACTAGCCTTCGAAAGACCTGCTTACAAGGTAGGCCCTTGGCTTGCATTTAAGACTTGGATTTTGAGAGTATCCACATCATCTCATAACCGATAAAGGTGGTCTTCTGTGTATATACAAACAATGTGGCTTATGCTGAACACCTGCTTTTCTTCTGGGAGTCTGGGATTTTGCTACCTACTATGTAGGCAGAAGATATCCACATAACCAGTCTCCAGTAAAAACCCTGAATTCCTAGGTTTAGGCAAGCTTCCCTGGTAGATAACACTTTACACTTTTTGTTTCAATTTGATGCAGGAGGATTTAATCATAACCTGTGTGACTCTAATGGGAGAGGGTTCTTGGAAGTTTATACCTAGGTTCCTCCAGACTTTATCTGATACGCCTTTTCCCCTTGCTCAGTGTTTGCCTTGTATCCCTTTGCTGCAATATATCATAGCCATGAGTATGACTACATGCTGAGTTTTGTTGAGTCTTAGCAAATTACCAAACCTGGGGTCTCAGGAATCTCTGATGTCAAAACTTTTTATTTATTCCCTGACAAATAAGAGAGTAAGAGACATTATAATGGAAACCCTGAAATTTCCCTTTCCCTAGCCAAGATAGTAAATCATAGGTAATGCTGTATCCCAGGAGGATTTTCAGAGATTCACACTACCTCCTGAGGTTTAAAGTGTGCAGAGGTGATAGTCCCCATCAAATTCCCATTTAATTCATTTGTTCACTCTCTGCAAAAACTAGACAGATGGGAGTGATGACCATGGACTGCAATCTACTTACTTAACTGCAACTGCAGCTGTCATGCCAGAGCAATATAACTTTGGCACCTTGGTAGGTGGCTATTTTTCTGGTGAATACACTTGTCTTAAACTACACCAGGGAATAAAATCAAAAGCAGTTCATCATCTTCTCATACCAAGAAAAAAGAACACATTCAACTATCTTGTTCCAAAGCTATGTTAACTCTCTTGCTTTCTTTCATAATGTACTCCACAAAGATTTCAACATTGAACATTCTATAGAACATAATGCTAGGTCACTGCATAGGTGACATCATTCTAATTGGACCTAATGAGTAGTAAGTAGCAAGGACCCTAGATGACCTAGCATATCAAAGAGTAAAAGACTAACCCTATGAATACTCAAATGACTGTCATATCAGTGATGATTCTAGGGGTCTTGGGTATGCAAAGAAACATCCTCTGAGATAAAATATAAGTCATTATCATTTGTATTTCTTACCATTAAGAAAGAGACACAGTCTTTTTTGATTTTAGAGATAACATATACCACATCTGGAACTCAAAACGTTATCAGGTTTGAGAGCGTTCTGGAGTAAGAGGTCCAGGCTATGATACCAGCCATCTGACACAATCCAGCCACTCTGATGTTGCTAGTAATGCCCATGATGGATAACGATGCTGTGTGGAGTTTGTGATTGGCACAATAGGAAAGCTAAAGTGCAGATCTTTTAATGATATAAATGGTATAGACCCATGCCTTCTACAGTAGGTAATTTTTCAGTGCTTATAAATAGATACTATCATGCTCCTGAACCCTAGTAGAGACTGAATAGATGACAATGGGACACTGTGTTAGGTTGTTCTTGTATTGCTAGAAATAGAAATAAAAGAAATACCTGTGACTGGGTAATTTATAAAGAAAAGAGGTTTAAATGGCTCATAATTCTACGGGCTGTAGAAGAATGGTGCCAGCATCTGCTTGTTTTCTGGGGAGGCCTCAGGGAGCTTTTACTCATGGCAGAAGGTGAAGAGGGAGTTTGCATATCACAGTGCAAGAGCAGGAGAAAGAGAGAGCATAAAGGAGGTGCCACACACTTTAAATAAGCAGATCTCACAAGAACTCACTAATATGAGGACAGCACCAAGCCGTGAGGGGTCCACCCCCATGATCCAAACACCTCCCACCAGGCCCCATCTCCAACACTGGAAATCACAATTCAACAAGCAATTTTGGTGGGGACAAGTATCCAAACTATATGAGACACCAAATAATTATGTTATCAGAGCTGCCAACAAGAACTTGGTATCATCAGATTGACTAGATCATAAGGTTAGATAGGTATAAGAGAAACCCTTTGTATAAGAGAAATAGTAAATTTGGGATTGGCTCCAAACAGGTCCAGAACAAATTTCATAAACACATGATCTAGAATCTCCTTTCGCCAACCTCTACTGTACCAAAGCAATTCACAATTCACACCGACATTTTAACTGGAAAATTCCCTATGACCAACTGACAGAGGAGAAAAGATCTTGGTCCCAGTTTATAAGTGGTTGGTACATATGTTGGTGCAAGCCAAAAATGCTTAACTGCTAAGTTACTCAAGGGGGACCCTAAAGGAGTAGCAAAGGAAAACCCTCCATGTAAGCAGAGCTGTAAGAAGTACAGTTGGCCATGCACTCTTAAGGGAAAGAGAAGTGGTCTGAGGTAAGGCTATATGTAGACAGTAGTGGTGGCAAAGGGATTGGCTGCTTGGTCTAGCATCTAGAGGAAACACAATTATTATATTAGAGACAAGAAAACTGGGGAAAATGTATATAAAGACTAGAAAGTGGGCAAAAAAAAAACAGCATAGAAACATCTTTGCATCTCACATTCATGCTCACAAGATAATTCTACCATAGGAGAGGTCTTCAACAACCAGGTGAGTTGGATGACTTCTGTAGCTATCAGTCAGCCTCCTTCCTCAGCCATCCCACTACTGGGGCAATGAGTTGGTAAGCAGGGAGGCCATGGCGGTAGATGGAGATTTTGTATGGGGATAGCAGCGGGGGCTCCCTCTCACTATGGCTGATCTATTACCTCTTCTGGGTTTTTGTTTGTTTGTTTGTTTGTTTGTTTTCATCTTAATTATTTGAGGTTTTCCTTTGCAAAATATTACCCCTTCTGAATGTCAGCAGAATGCTGAGTCCTCAGTATCATTCCTTGAGGAAACCAGTCTACCACTTAATGGTAAGTTGATTTTATCAGACTCCCCTCACTCTGGATAGGGCAGTAATTAATCCTTACTGGTACTGATACCTACTCTAGAAAGTGGTTTTTTTCCCCCTCTCTTCATAATTCTTCTGACATTGATATGATTCAAAGGCTTACAGAATGATGTATCAACAAGGTATCCTATAAAACACTGCCTTAGGCTGAGGGATCCATTTGTGGCAAATTAAATAGATAGATATAGGACATTGAATACACAGCAAGAGATTCATGAATTTTACAATGTATGCCTTTACTTCCCACCACCATCAAACAATGAGGCAATAAATCATGGCAGTGTCTATTAAAAAGCTTTGCTAAGGTACTAGCTTTGGAGATCACTCTAAAAGATTGGGAATGCTGTCCTCTAAATTGCAGAATAGGAGCTGAACCAACAATTCCATTCCACGTAGTTAGAATACATAAGTCCATGAACTAAGTGGTGGAATAGGATTAACTCCTCCCACCAATGCTTCCAGTGATCTGACTGCATTTTTGCTTCCCATCCATGAAATCTCTAGGCTCTGCTGCATTTCAGTTGAATCTGCACTTGATCTTAGCCAAAAGGCCGAAAAGCAATGCATTTCAGTTGAATCTGAACCTGGTTACCACCTGATCGTGTTGAGCTGTTCATACCAGTTGACAAACAAAAAAAGAGCTAATGTGATTGTGGTGGTAAGTGTCTCTGGTTATCATGAGAAGCTTGGGTTGCTCCAACATAATGCACTCCATAAATGATATGTCTGGAATTCAGGAGATTTCACTAGGGTATCTCTTGGTTTTTCCATTGCCAGTGTCAATGGTAAATGAGCAACTGAAGCAACCATGACAAAGACAAGGCATTGAGGTCTTAAACTCCTCAGAGGTAAATGTCTTATCTTCAAGCAGGTCCAGAAGGAACTGTAGCTTGTTTCATTAACTCTTAAGTCTCTTTAGAAATTGTGCTTGGTTATACTTTAAAGGAAAATCTTTTGTGGATTGGACTTACTCCTCTGCTGTCAGATAAGAAGTGAGGGCATACTCTCCTCTCTCTCTCTCTCTTTCTCTCTCTCTCTCTCTCTCTCTCTCACACACACACACACACACACACACACACACACACACACTGGAGGCCTCATATTGAATAATAGCATGGAAGCTGGATATAATGGAGAATATGAGCAGGCCCATAGTGGTGCAGTGGATGAACTATATCAGATACCTCTTATGCTCCATTTCAGATGTTCTCAGCTTGCCTATCTTGTATTCCAGACATGAATACTGGAAGCCAGCTCCATGTGGGCACAGACTTCACATAGGTACAACCTTAACAGTACTTTTCCCTTCATAACTATGTCACAGGTCATCTGGCTGTCACCCAAAGACTTTCCTTTTGAAACCAATTTAACAGGATGCCATGGAACCTTGCTCAGCACCCACATATACACAATTCAGAAGTGTGGGGTAGTTAATGTCGGTGTGCTAAAGACCAGAGGAAGATGAGGATAAAAAATAAAATTTCCCTCTCACCACTCCTCCAACTAGCTCCCCTCAGACACAATATATGTGACTTCTTGGAAAACTGGATTTAAGAAATCAGTTGCAATTAATAACCAATTCAATAATGCGCCCTCAAATTGGCTCTTCCTCCTTTCTGGCTGCACTCTCCTGGCCCCTCATTTGTTACCTGGGATTGTACTTCCTAATAGATTAGTGGTATAAAAGCCCTTTGTCATATTTTGTCTTTTTTGAGAAGTGTCTCACTCTGTCACCAAGGCTGGTGTGCAGTAACACAATCATGACCCACTGTAGCCTCAACTTCCCCAGGCTCAAGCAATCCTCCTATCTCAGCCTCCCAAGTAGCTAGGACTATAAGCTGATTGTTTTTCTATTTTGTAGAGACAGCGATTTGCCATGTTGCTCAGGCTGATCTTGAACTCCTGGGCTCAAGCAATCCATCCGCCTCAGCCTCCCAAAGTGCTGAGATTATAGGTGGGAGCCACTGCACCTGGCCTAGCCCCTTGTCTTATACTCTGCTTTTGGGAAGACTCAGGCTAAAATAGCTACATTTTCTGTTATAAAAGGAGACATAGAACATATATTCATATTTGTGCATAAAAATAATGTCATAATAGCTGGATACAGTGACTTACACCTGCAATCCCAGCACTTTGGACCAAGGTGGGCGAGTCTCTTGAGGCCCGGAGTTCAAGACCAGCCTAGCCAACAAAGCGAGACCCCCATCTCTACTAAAAATACAAAAAAGTATCTGAGGATGGTGGTATGGGCCTGTAATCCCAGCTACTTAGGAGGCTGAGGCAGGAGAATCACTTGAACCCAGGGGGCAGAGGTTGCAGTGAGCTGAGACCATGTCACTGTGCCCCAGCCTGGGCGACAGAGCAAGACTGTCTCAAAAACAAATAGCAACAACAAAAGAAAAACACTATCATGATAAAAACTAAAAAATTATCTATCTATAGGAAATGAAGTATAAAGAAGTAATGTGGGGTGGGTGGGAGTAAGACTTCTCAGAGTAAGTTTTATATAGTTGTTTGAATCATGTAACTTATTATCTAATCAAAATGAAAACATTATGCCAAGTGAAATAAGTCAAACACAAAAAGATATTGTATCATTCTATTTATATGAAATGTCTAAAAGAGGCAAATTCAAAAGGACAGAAAGCAGATTAGAGATTACCAGGGATGGGAAGAGTGGGGAATTATTGCTTTAATGGGTACCAAATTTCTGTTGGGGTGATGAAATTTTTGGGAATAGGTAGTGGTGATGGTTGCACCACACTGCAAATATAATTAATGCCACTCAATTGTATACTGAAAGTGATTAAAATAGCAAATTTTATGTTATATATATTTTACCACAAAAACAAAAGAAATTAGGGAAAAATGAATTTTTTTCTTTTTCTATTTTTTTTTTTTTTTTTTTTTTTGAGACAGGGTCTCACTCTGTCACCCAGCCTGGAGTGCAATGGTATGATATTGGCTCACCACAGCCTTGACCTCCTGGGCCCAAACAATTTTCCCACCTCAGCCTCCCAAGCAGCTGGAGCTACAGGCACACACCATCACACTCAGCTAATATTTTTTATTTTTTTAGAGATGAGGTCTCCCTATGTTGCCCAGGCTGGGCGAACTCATTTTTTAAAAAGAACCATAGACAGCTAAGCAACACCCTGAAAAAATTCATCCTCAGTAGTAATTTAAAAATGTAAAACTAGAAAAAATTAATTTAAAAGAATGAAAGTGAAAGACAATTTAAGACAAAAATGAAGAGTCTTTGTCACGAGCAGACCCATAATAGAGGAAATTCTTAAAGAGTTATTTCAGGTATAAGGCAAAGGATCATAGCTGGAAACCAGAGATAATATAAAAGCCAACACATACACAGTTTACCAGATACCAGGCACCACATTAACTACTGTGCATATATTAACTCATTTAATTCTCACTCACATGGCTCTATGAGGTAATAATCCTCATTTTACTGTTAAAAAAACAATACACAGAGTTAGAAAACTTGACTAAGGTCACACACCTAGTACAGAGCCTGGGGATATGCAACCAAGTATTGAGGATTTTAAATCTGACACTGGATAGTTAAGTAAAGAAATAAAGCAGGCCATGTATAGACTAATGATGAGAATCTGTCATAATCCAATTCTGTGAAT